ACATTTTGACATAAATATCATCCCAAGCTTCACAGATAAAAGTAGACATTCTAATCATGATAGTTGCTGTGGATACCTTTTTAGGCATCTTTCCAATTAATAAATGCATCATAGATCAGGCAGTATTCTAGGTAATGGTAATAAAAAATAAAAAAAAATAAGATAGGATTCTTGTCCTTAATATTTTCACATTGCATTTGAGAAAAATGTGAATAAATGAGTAATTTCAATATTAATTGTAAGAGAAGACGTTTGCACAAGAAGTGACCACTAGAAGCCGAGGCAGGTGGATCACTTAAGGTCAAGAGTTTGTCAAGCCTGGCTAAAATGGTAAAACCTCATCTCTTCTAAAAATACAAAAATTAGCCAGGTGTGGTGGTACATGTCTGTAACCCCAGCTACTTGGGAGGCCGAGGCAAGAGAATCACTTGAACCTGGTGGCAGAAGTTGCAGTGAGCCAAGATTGCACTACTGCACTTCATCCTGCGTGACAGAGCAAGTATCTGTCTCAAAAAAAAAAGAGGAGGAATTACAATATTTGATATTAATACTTACAACAATGTCATAGTAATTTTAGCCTGTGTAATTGAATAAACAATTAGATCAATAGAGCTAAGTGGAGAGCAAAGAAACTTACTCATGCATATACAAAAATTTTACTCCTACTGGTAGACTTTAGAGATCAGAGGAAAACAATGACTGATTCAGCAGGTAGTGTTGATACATCTGATTATCCATATAGAAATCAAATTTGATTCTATGTCACATCATTTTTAAAAAATCAAATTAAGGTAGAATGAAGACTTACATATTAAAAACAATGACATAACTCTTTTATAAACCAGTCAAGGAAATTATTTCTGACTTTGAAGTAGGCAGTACTTCTTCAAAAAGACACAAAGAAATTTGTACATTTGAAGACACTAAACACTAAAGACACTGAAGGCGTAATACATCAAGCCACAGACTGACAAACCGCAACCCAGTTAGCAATGGATCAACATTGTTAAATGAACAAATAAGTGTTACAGATCAATAATACAATATTATCAATACTATAGAAAAATGAACAAAATTGGCCAGTGTGGTGGCTCAAGCATGTAACGCCAGCACATTGGGAGGCCGAGGTGGATAAAACACAAGGTCAGGAGTTCAAGACCTGTATGGCCAAGATGGTGAAACCCCATCTCTACTAAAAATACAAAAATTAGCCTGGTATAGTGGCAGGCTTCTGTAATCCTAGCTACTCAGGAGGCTGAGGCAGAAGAATCACTTGAACCCAGGAGGCAGAGGTTGAAAAAGAAAAGAATAATGAGTAAAATATATAAGCAGTCAATTTTGTATAATAGCCAAAAAGCCCTATTAAAAGGATAGCAAATATCATTTAAAAAACAAAGAAATATACAATAAGAAGAAGGAATATTTCTAGAAAGGTAAAAATTAAAAGATTTGACAACACCAAATGCTGTATGTACATTCATTAGGTCTCTTCACATGAGACTTCTTAAATGCAACTTGGCACTATTATTTTTGAAAATTTTTGGCAATATGTAATAAAGTTTTACATGTGAAGATAAAATGATCCAATAATTCCATTGTAAGGTACACACTCTGAAGAAACTCTTAACACATGTGAACCAGGAGACAGGTCCAAAAATTTAGAAGTTGCAATGTTCATTGCTACTTTGTCATTTAAAAAATCTAGAAAAAGTATCATTGCCAGTAAAACAGATGGGTACATTGTATATGGATTGAACCAAACGCAAAGCAGTTAAAATGAATGAAATACGATTGCACATTTCATCAGGGATTATTCTCAATACAGTATTTAACAAAATATTTTTATTATAAAGTTAATAAAATATGTATTACATAATTTTATTTATATGCAGTGCAAAACATATAGGATAATAGTTATCATAAAAAAGAAAGATAGGTATAAAGTTATAAAGTAAAATCCAGAAAGCATTCAATGAACAGGTAATATTTTATTTTAAATCTGTATAGTCTATTCATAAATGTTTATTTCATTTTTGAACTGTTAATACATTATATGTATCATTTATATAATGCATTTTCATGTAAATCCAATAACTGATGCCTCAGTTTCTATGTTGATAATGTCTTAGATGCAAATCTTGGCACCTACCATAATGGTCTGGATATTCTGCCTGATAATCATTATCACACATTTCAGATCTATTTGTTCCTGGCTTCCATGATGAATAACCAAACAACTTTTTTTTTTTTCCTCAAACAACTTTCTTGGTGTCCATCTTTAGAAATATTGTGAATTATTCACTAGTTGAATTTGTGTCTGATCACAGAACCACCAGATTCTTCCAGTATCTGGTGTTACCATTGCTGCTTAGCCAGCTCCTTAGTAGCCCAATTTTAGGCTAATTATTGCCTGGGCAAAATGTTTGTGGTTTGCATTTTTTAGATCATAACATTATATTTTCCTATAAACTATCATATCTGCCTGGCTGACATGTTTCTTTACCTGTAACCAATTATACTTTAATTCATCCAGCAGTTAGTTTACTTCATCAAAAGGTTTTATTTATTCATGGCATGCTTGACACCATTGTCAATTGTATAAGTCACAAAATTCCTTTTATTTCATCCAGCCTTGTTAAAGTTTTGGGAGTAGTTTGAATTTATATTATGTTTCCAATCCCTAAAAGATCTTTCACACATACCAAGCATTTTCCTACCAAAAGCCCTAATAACTTTAATTAACCTGCCAGCATTCTTTCTTCAACTAAGGCCAGTTTAGTGACAATGTAATGCATTTCCTCACTGAACCTGACTATAGTTCAAAACATACTTTTTAAAAAAAATGATGATGGTTTTTTGTTTGCTTGTTTGTTTCCTCAGTGCAAAACCTCTTTACCTCTCTCAGCTAATGGTGGGAAGATTTCTATGTAATGAAATATCATTTCTATGTAATGATAATATTTGAAGGCAATCAGGATTTTACCTCAGAAGAGAAAGCCAATAAGAATGGATTTTCATAAGTTAGGTTCATCATTTTTTGGTCTTATAAAAAGACTTGTTAGGTCAGAATGAGAGGAGTAAAGGTCTCTCCCATTCAACTTTTACCTGATGGCAAAAGATGCTCTGATTTTGGCTCTTCTCAAGAGCAGTCCTTGTAAAGGTAAAGACTTTGACGACTAGTTCCTGCTGAGCTATTGAAACCTCTGGGCTTAATCCATAATACATTCCCAACCCTTCACCCTGCTTTTCTGTAAATCATTCATCAACATGTATTGTTGCTTATTATTTTCTAAGATCTTATTTGTAATTTAGAGAAAATATAGATACAACAAAATGACAGGTAAATTAAATTGGAAAGCAGAAACACACACACACACACACAAAGATGCACAAATAAACAGCCACACTGCAACCATCACCATGAATCATGAACACTACCACCATTACCAACAAGCAGTAATCCTAAATTGGAGTGATGAAAGGGAATAAATCTAGAAAAATATCACATTTTCAAAACTATATAAAAGTGATTAGATGTTTGAAAATGAAAACTTTATTTTAATTAATATAGCTATTACACTGAGTCTCATAATTAGCTGATACTTTTGAGAACAAGAAAATATAAAATTTGATTTTTGTGTTGTTATGCAGGAGTATATTTTATAATGAATTTACAAGTAGAGAATGTAACAGAATTATATGCACGAAGGGCTTTTTTTTTTTCTTTTGCATACACAGAATAAATGCTATTTGTTAAGGTTAACAAAGCTCACACAAAAGCTTTTTCGTTCCAGGGTTTCACAGTGTAAACTCAGAGGCATTATCTTGTGGCTTTACCTTATATCCCTGGGTTGAATGTGTTTGTGACTGGCTTTGATCAAAACTAAAGTAGAGGCAAATCCTCCTCTGCCTAATGAGTATTAGGTCAATCTGGAATAGGATATTGTTAAATCTACAAAGATACTGACTAAATCTAGGCTCAACAAGATAAAATGTTTGTATTATCATTTTTAATTTTGATACATGAGTATCTCAAAACCAGTTGTATACTCATATTATTAAATATTACTGTAACATAAAGGTCAAAAGATTTTCTCAAAGCTAAATTATTCAGAAAAGGAAAATGTACTAGAAAGAACATAGGCTTGAAATTTAAACAGGCTGGTTGTGTTCAAACTGTTTTTACAACCTACCATTTGTGTGATTTGAAGCAATGCACTTAAAGTTTCTGTGTGTTTCCTAAGCTTTAAAATGAGAAAAACATTATTTACATTAGAGATTTTTAAACTTTTTTATGTATGGCACATAAGATTAATAAGAGGCAATGTATGAGTATTTATGTGGAGCTTGGTAAAATATAATCTTTATATTACATATTTATTAGAAAAATACAATTCAAGTCTTGGGCAAAATACTATATTAGTTTGTATAATACTTCCAAATAGTTTCATAAGTTTGCTTACATTTTCATAATCTTTCCAAATATTGTTAGTTGTCATGAATATGTAACTTTGCACAAGTGCATAAAGAAATATAAAGCATTGGTCAGGCGTGGTGGCTCACACCTGTAATCCCAGCACTTAGGGAGGTTGAGGCTGGCGGATCATGAGGTCAAAGAGATTGAGACCATCCTGGCCAACATGTCTCTACTAAAAATATAAAAATTAGCTGGGCATGGTGGCACAGGCCTGTCGTCCCAGCTACTCTGGAGGCTAAGGCATGAGAATCTCTTGAACCTGGGATGTCGAAGTTGCACTGAGCCAAGACCAGGCCACTGCACACCAGCCTGGTGACAGAGTGAGACTCCATCTCAAAATATAAACACACACACACACACACACACACACACATATCATTTAGAACCATGCAAAATTGTTCAACTGAATTGTATTTAGAATTGAATAACTCTTCTTTTATTAATGAATATAATATTAAATGTACTGGTATAACATAACTGAATTTTTCATATATATTATTTCACAGTACGATGAAGCCTTTACTGTGAATGTATTTTAAATATAACTGAATTTTTTATATAAATGATTTTACAGTAAGATGAAGCCTTTATTTGCAAAGTTTTGTATACTTTCTGAGCAATTAACTATGGAGTGAGTTTAAACAGCACTATTAGTTCCAGTTATCTATTGCTACATAACAAACCACCCTTAATCTTGCAACTTAAAACAATAATATTAATTTAGTTTTCTCACAAACTTGCAATTTCGTTAGGGTTCAGCAAGAATGGCTTATTTCCCCCCACCCCCACCCCAGTGGTATCAGTTTCAATAGCCTGAGTGCAACTAAAGGATCCATTTTCAAGAAAGACCATTTATATGCTGACATCTTGATGCTGGATGCTGGCTGGAAGCTCATCCAGGTGCTGTCAGCCAGGGGCCTTAGTTTATATTCATGTAGGCAACTTCATAGAGATCCTGTGACTTCTTTCATAATGATGACTGGGTTCCAAGAGCTAGAATTCCAAGAGACAGAAAAGTATTTTTATTACCTGGGCTTAGAAACTAGGCATCACTTCTGTTTTATTCTACTGATGAAACAGTCATAAATTCACCCAGAATCAAGAAGAGGGAGCATAGACTCCCATCATTTTCAGCCCACAACAATATTTAAAGATAGAGACTTGGAAGTTCCACTCATAGCCATGTGCATCATGAGACAGTTGGCCTGCTTGTTATGCTCTACAGAGCCCTGAAACCCAATGCCCTTCAGCAGCATCACCAGTTCCTTGTGAGTAATGGGCAGTAGTGAATTCTGCATCTATTGCAATTGTTGAAGTAGCTATCTAGGTAATAGAGCACTTCCCTGGCCAAGCCCAGAATATTAATGAGTATCAGCAAGCACCTATGCTGCTCACTGTTTGTAAAGATCATGGAGTGTTCATCTGCCTGTGCTGTGCTCTGCTACCCATGGGGTACTTCTCATTGACAGAATACAGTTCCAGGAAGTCTGACATCTGGAAACCCTTCAAGTTGTCCTGAATGTTCAACATCTTGTTGTACACCTGTTTTAGTCAGTTTGGGCTGATATAACAGAGTACCATAGACTGAGTGGCTTGTAAATATCAGAAATATATTAGGTTGCTGCAAAAGTAATTGCATTCTTTTATTAGGTTGATGCAAAAAATGCAATTATGTTTGTACCAACTTAATATTTCTCACAGTTCTGGAGACTCAAAGTCCAAGATCAGTATTCAGCATGGCCAAGTTCTGGTGAGGGCCTCCCAGTTGCAGACTGACAACTTCTTGTTACAAGTTCTTATATGGTAAAAAGAAGAGAAGAGAGATTGAAAACTCTCTAGAGCCTTTATTTTTTTTCTTTTTTTTTTGAGACAGGCTCACTTTGCCTCCCCAAGCTCTAGAGCAGTGGCATAATCATAGCTCACTGGAGCCTAGAATTCCTGGGCTTAAGGGATCCTCCCACCTTAAGCTCCCAAGTAGCTGAGATTATACACACAAGCTACCGTGCCTGGCTCTTGGGGTCCCTTTTATAATCCTGTTCATAAGGGACCCATCCTTACGAACTAATTATTGGTAAAAAGTTTCATCACAATGGAGTTGGAATTTTAATGTATGCATTTAGGAAGACAAAAAGTTTCAGTCCATAACAACACCTATAACTTACTGCAGCAAATTAGGTGTGAAACTTGTTTACCTTCATAGAAGGATTAACCATGATGGATATAATATGAGCTAATAGTAAGTATGTAAATACTGGTTAAAAAGGTGGGCTCTGGATTCAGACCATTAAAATTCAGTTTCTGGTTTTATCTTTATCTAGCTGTTTGAACTTATTGGTAAAATATAGATTTAAAAAGGTTTTACCTAGGGTTGTTATAGGAAATAGATAGGATAAGACATGTAATAGGTAAGATCCAGCACGTGTTCCATATTATAAGAAATATAAACTTATTGCTCTAATTATAATAAATCTCATACATCACATATCTGCAAGCCATGGGTAAACCCAAGGTTTTCAATGTAGCTTGCTTTTATAATCTTTTCAAAGTTAATGGTCCTTTACTCCATTTGATAAGTTAAAAAAAATTTAGCCATTTTGCCTTACACCTAATGTTCTCTAACTAGTTTCCTCTCATTTACACTGCTTGAAACACCTCCTATTTCAATATTGCCTATGGTATGTGATAAAGCACTTCATATTTCAGACAGTAAAATATTAATGAAGCCAAGGAAAAACAGACCACAGATTTGCCAGACCTATAACTTAAAACTTTAAATTTATTATTATGTTTTCTTTATAGTCTTGAAGCCACCTTTCAATCTAATAGACTCAATTTTTATATAGGATTTTTTTAAAAAAACAAAATTTCAGAAACACTACATAGTAAGAGAAAATTAAATTTTACAACTCAAAAGTTCATTTAATTGATTTTTAATGATATAAGTTAAGCTTTCCAAAGGGTTAAGTTTTTATTAAAAAAGCATAGTTAATCAGTAAATACATGGTACCTCCCTGCCTTTCCCCCAAATACTTCTGTTAAGATTGGCACCCAGTGATGACTGACATAAGATCACAATATGTGGGGACATCAGCCTCTTAGTGTGCTGAGTGTCATTGAGGGACAAGGCCGAGTAGAGAAGGGAATGCAAGGAAAAAGGGCAGAGACCCAGAAAATTGAAACAGAATAATATTGTCTTCTCAAGAACGAACTAAGGGTGAGTTCTTAGAATATTATGGGTATTTCCAACCCACTTGTGTCCAAATAATATTTAAGAAACAAAGGGAATCTGTTCTTGGGTGAGCAGAATAGATTATATATGCTTAGAGGTAAAATCATCATGAGACACTCATAGAAATCCAGTCATTTGGTGAAATTTGCCAAACATAACACTAGAGACAGAAGAAAAATTCAGATGCCCCAGAAATAGGGATTAAGAAAAAAGGAGTGAGAATTTTTTAAGAAGAAAAGAAAGAAAAAAAAAGAATAAAAAAAAAGAATGAAGGAGAGGAAGAAAGAGAAAGAGGAAGAGGGAGAGAGAACGGGGGTGTTGCTTTATTGCCCGGGCTAGAATGCAGTTTAAAAATGGGTATGCCTATAATTGTGCTTAATAATAGAGCCATGAAAAAAAAATGAGGGAAGAAAATAACAAACAAGCAGCCAACCAACATTTCATTTAAACCTGTAAATAGATGTGATGTGGTACTGATAAGAGTGTATATTTTGTGTATTTAAAGTGGAGAGTTCTATGAATGTTAATTAAGTTTACTTGTTCCGGATCTGAGTTCAAATCCTGGATATCGTTGTTAATTTTCTGTCTCATTGATCTGTCTAATATTGATGTTGAAGTCTCCCACTATTATTATGTGGGAGTCTAAGTCTCTTTATAAGTCTTATATATATGGGTATTCCTGTATTGGGTGCGTATATATTTAGGATCTTTAGCTCTTCTTGTTGCATTGATCCTTTTATCATTATGTAATATCCTTCTTTGCTTCTTTTGATCTTTGTTGCTTTAAAGCAACTCCTGCTTTTTATTTATTTATTTATTTTTGCTCTCCATTTGGTTGGTAAATCTTTCTCCATCCCTTTGTTTTGAGTCTTTATATATCCTTGCATGTGAGATGGGTCTGGATGCAGCATACCGATGGGTTTTAGCTTTTTTTGCCTGTCTGTGTCTTTGGATTGGGGGATTTAGTTGATTTAAATTTAGAATTAATAATAATGTACGTGAGTTTAATACTGCCATTTAATGTTAGCTGGCTGTTTTGCCAATTAGCTGATGTAAATTCTTGATTATGTTGATGCTCTTTACTTTTTGATATTTTTTAGAAAGGCTGATACTGGTTGTTCCTTTTTATTTGTAGTGGTTCTTTCAGAAGCTCTTGTAAAGCAGGCCTGGTGGTGATGAAATCTCTGAGTGCTTGCTTGTTCACAAAGGATTTTATTTTTCCTTCGCTTATAAAGCTTAGTTTGGCTGGATGTAAAATTCTGGGTTCAAAGTTCTTTTCTTTAAGGATGTTGAATATTGGCCCCCACTCTCTTCTAGCTTGTAGGGTTTCTGCTGAGAGATCTGCTGTGAGTCTGATAAGCTTCCCTTTATGGGTAACCTGACCTTTCTCTCTGGCTGCCCTCAGAATTTTCTCCTTCATTTCAACCCTGGTGAATCTGGCGATTATGTGCCTTGAGGTTGGTCTTCTTGAGGAATATCTTTATGGTGTTCTCTGTATTACCTGGAGTTGAATATTGTCCTGCCTTCCTAGGTTGGGAAAGTTTTCCTGAATAATATCCTGAAGCGTATTTTCCAGCTTGGATTGATTCTCTTCGTCACATTCAGGTACACCTATCAAGCGTAGTTTAGGTCTTTTCACATAGTCCCATACTTCTTGGAGACTCTGTGCATTCCTTTTTATCCGTTTTTCTCTAATCTTGTCTTCTCGTTTTATTTTATTAAGCTGGTCTTCGACTTCTGATATCTTTTCTTCTGTTTGATCGATTCGGCTGTTAAAACTTGTGCATAGTTCGCGAAGTTCTCGTGTTGTGTTTTTCAGCTCCATTAATTCACTTATATTCCTCTCTAAATTGTGTATTTTTGTTAACATTTCATCAAACCTTTTTCCAAAGTTCTTAGTTTCTTTGCACTGGGTTAGAACAAGTTCTTTTAATTCACTGAAGTTTCTTATCATCCACCTTTTGAAGCCTGCTTCTGTTGATGGAACACACTCGTTCTCTATCAGGCCTTGTTCTGTTGCTGATGAGGAACTGTGATCCCCTGTAGAGGGAGAAGCATTCTGATTTTGGGTATTCTCAGCCTTTTTAGGCTGGTTTCTTCCCTTTGTTATAAATTTATCCATCTGTGGTCTTTATAATTACCGTCTTTATAATTGGGTTTCTGAGTGGACGTCCAACTTGTTGATTCCTAGTGCTAAAATCTGAGCAACCCACTGCGTCAGCCAAAACAGCGGTGGTGTGTGAGCAACAAAAAATCATCTGAAAGTGTGGTGTCCACTCGTTTTCTGCACTTTCACTGGGAGCTACAATCCTGAGCTGCTAGTGATCAGCCATCTTGGATCTCTCTTGGAGAGAGAATCAATAGACTTGGATCAGATGGCTGAGGTCCTTCACAATATCTCATTCTCAAAATATCAATAGTTTGCAAGGAGTAATCAGAGACCATCGTACCAAAGGCATGTGTCAGAAGTGAATCTAATAGAGAAGACTGACCTATTTTCCCTGATTTCCTTTAGTGTCAGGGAGTTATTTATTTATTAATATCACTCAAATTTACTGTGGCGTTGTCAGTTTTTCTTTATGTAGCTCCAACTTATGTTGTGTTTATTTTGCCCTAGTTTCAAAGCTTTCTGTAGAACTTGAAAGGCCTTCCTTCATTATCTTCTTGCACCTAATTTATCTTTCCTCAGAACCCTTTAGGTAAACTTTCCTTCAGAGTCAGGTAGTAAATCCGCTATGTTTGAATTTTGAGGTGGTGGTTGAAT